AAAAAAAAAAAAGATAAGCCATCAATTTGCATTTTATCAGCGTACCAGGAACTTCTTAGTAAGCAAAATATTGGGGAGGCATATAGCTTTTCATCCTGTAGCCATCTTATCTAGAAACCAAAAGCAGGGAACGGGTATGCATGACCCAGTATCCAGCTTGAGTTTTTCCTTTGGCTAAATGAATCTGGGGTCCCCAAATTTAATTTCCTTTCACATACCTATTTCCTGGATGTGGATATAGAACTTGAGTTTTGGTCTAAGTATTCTAAAATAAATCATTGTGGTTCCTTTTCCAGTTTCAAATAACCACTGAATGACTACGGAAGAAGGGCAGAAATTCTACAATGGCTAACAAAATATGAGAAGATGGCCATAGGGTATTATGAAATATTTTTAGGGAGAGGGACACAGAAACCCAGCTCTTTAAAACAAAAGTAAACCAGAAAGACAGCAATTAAACCAATCTGGGTTCACTAGGAAAGAAAAGAAATAATGAAAGAACTGGGGTCTTTATATTTTTTATGGATTAAATTAATTTCTTCTTAGGACTACTCAAACTCTGAACTGACATATTGTAGGGTTTTTTTTAAACTGAAATATGTGTAATTATATTTCTGTGGTATGTTGGTTAATTTTAGCTGTCACTTTGAGTGGATTAAGCAATACCTGGGGAACTGGTAAAGCATTGTTTTTGGCTGAGTTTGTGAAGGTGTTTTCAGAGGAGAGAGACATGTGAGCTGATGAGGTCAGTGGAGGACTATCATTCCTCTGTGTGGGTGGGCACCACCCAATCAGCTCATAGCTCAGATAGAAGAAAAAGGTCAGAGAAAATGACAATTTTATTTCTTTCTCTCCAGAAGCTGGTTCTGAGACTTTCACACTTAAGCTCAGCCAGGATATTGATATACCTGGGACACCAGCTTAAAGACAGACGCCTTTTACTGGAAATACTCAGACTCCATAATCAAGCAAGCAATTTTTCTGATAGATTCTCTTTCCTGTACAGTCATGTGTAGCTTAAGAACAGACATATGTTCTGAGGAACGCATAAGGCAATTTTGTTATTGTTTGAATATGGTGGAGTATGCTCACACAAACCTAGATGGTGCAGCCTACTACATACCTATTGTGTATGGTATAGCCTGTTAATCCTGGACAACAAACCTGTACAGCATGTCTTGTATCCTATACTGTAGGCAATTGTAACATAATGGTAAGTATTTACTTTGTGTGTGTGTGTGTGTGTGTGTGTGTAGATAGGTAGGTAAATAGATAGATAGATAGGTATATAGATAGGTAGATAGGTATACATAATATAGCTTTGTCTCTCTGGAGAACCCTGACTAATAAAAGCTATACTTGTTGTTTTCACAATTTTCAGTCTTT